TAGTATTAGAATATGATACTTCGATCACATAATATGTCCTAATAACTGATTTGAATCATTTTGATAAACCATCTCCTAAGGATATATTTTACTCTCTTCAAAACTTAAAGGTGAAAATCACTGACCCCAAATACTACTCTTCAATTAAAAAATCCAAGATCTTACAATCCTACTATTAAACACGATATACTAAATGAAATAATTTTCTACGTATTTGATAATAATCAAAAACACGGTAGACTCAGATAAAATTAAACCGGATACGAAAGAAGAAATTGCCGAAATTTTAAAGGAAAATCATTCTACCTCTCTTGCTGGTCATCCCCGATTTAACATATTTTACCCACGGATTAAGGCAGTTTAGAAATAGCCCAATGAAAAAAGATATCAGAACGTTCATAATAGTATATTGTTGTATTAGGAGTAGAAGCTTTACTTTTTTGTGCTGAAGCGGTAGGTTTGCGAGCCGAACGTAGTGAGGCTTGCAATACTGCTGAAGCACAAAAAAGTGCTTCTACTCCGTATGCAACACGCTATTTTTTCTCCAAACGAATGGGGTAAGCTCGGGGGCAAGTGAATGGTTGAGCGGCAGCAAAAGTACGAGCGACACTAAAAGTACTTCTACTGCCGCTCCAGCGGCACTAAAAGTACTTTTGCTGCCGCTGGGGTTGCCAAGCAGCATAGAAATTAAGTTTCTACCACCTCGACAGGTGTTAACCCGCTGGATTTGCCTAGCAGCATAGAAATCAAATTTCTGACATCTTGACAGGGGTTAACAAAGTGACGTTTTTCTGACGTTTGGAGAAAAAAGGTTTTTTCTCCAAACGTCAAAAAAACGTCAATTACTTAACTCCTGTCAAGATGTCAGAAATTTGATTTCTATGCTGCCAGGCAAATCCAGCAGGTTAACACCTATCGAGGTGGTAGAAGTTTAATTTCTATGCTGCTTGGCAACCCTAGCGGCAGCAAAAGTACTTTTAGTGCCGCTCATACTTTTACTGCCGCTCAACCATTCACCTGCCCCCGAGCTTACTCCATTAGTTTGGAGAAAAAAATATCGTGTTGCATACGGAGTAGAAGCACTTTTTTGTGCTTCAGCAGTATTGCAAGCCTCACTACGTTCGGCTCGCAATCCTACTGCTTCAGCACAGAAAAGTAAAGCTTCTACTCCTAATACAATATACTATTATCAAGTGTCAAGAAAATAAAGTAAATCGTCATCCAATTAAAGCTCCAATGCAAGTTAATTCTTCTTGAAGAAGTTAATAGTCTATCTAAAATTAAACATATTACCACATCAGTTTATAGACCTCAGAGTTATAGAGCCTTAGAACGCTCTCATTCTACGCTAGAAGATTATTTAAAACATTTTACCAATAAAAGTCAAGACAATTGGGACGAATTTATTCAAACTGCCATGTTTTCGTATAACACTCTAGTCTATTCAACTTCTCAATTTACACCATATGAGTAAGTGTTTGGCCATAAGGCAATATTACCCAATAAAATAACAAAAGACCGAGAATTCCACTACATGTATAATACCTATAACAAACAACTTCAGTAGAGATTAAATAAATGATCGTTTCAAATTGCTAGAGAAAACATTATCAATTCTAAAATGAAATCCAAAACCTATCACGATAAAAAAATTATTGATTTTAATTTTTCTGTAGGCGACCAAGTTTATGTCCTGGATAAAGCTTCAAAGCCCCGAATAAGTAAAAAACTTTCCCCGAATTATAAGGAACCATATAAAATAACAAAAATAAACTCGAATAATTCGGTTTTCTTAAAAATAAAAAATAAAGCTTGTTTTGTTTCACCAAGACTTTAAAACCATTTGTTTTAGACAAAAATGAAGCTGAGACATTACACGCTATATGCTCTTCTCATAATTACGATTTGTTGCGCCCACCTATCGCAAACGCAGGAGCAGGCTTATTAAATAACACCAATCAATAACCTTAAGCAGGCATCTGTCACCAATCTCTAGGCACCCGCGAAACTATAAAACAATGCCTAGGTAGGTACCGCATAACATTCCGCATACGAATTTCGGACCAAATTACATTCCGTATATGCGTTTGGCACCTCGCCGTTTATTGGTTTAAATTCGACCGCATGGTGCGAAGAACCAATGAGAATATGCCTGGGTGCCAAATACATATACGGAATGTTTAGATGCGAACGGCACTGTCATACATTATTTGTCCATTTGCTTTCTCCACTATAAGACTTATAAGCACGTGGTGGAACAAAGAGGCAGATGGTTTATTGCATTTTATATGGCTTTTGCTACATCTCTGAACAAACTTTGTCTCAACAGACTCTACGTATAAATTTCCATGATCGCAGTTTTATCTGCACTTTCAGGAGCAAAAATAAATAAAGCCAAGATATTAATTTCTTAACAATGTGGGTGATGTAGAGTTGCAGTTGCAAAAAGATGTAAGAAATGTTTTGAACAATGAGTGTTATAGAAATATGTCCTAGACTTAAAGATGACAGAACAAATTAAAACAAACAAGACTTTCTAGAAAATAAATGATGATCTAAAATAAAAACTGCCATAATGATCAACAGGAAAGGTGATATGGTTTATTTTTGTCTAAATATTTTAACAAGAGCGAAAAGATTGCCACAGTTTATTTTAAATTTTACAATTATATATTATCTTTTTATTGTTCATTTTAAAATAACATTCAATAACTTAAACAACTAATGTTAATTTATACAACAGAAACTTTTGTTCTAAATCTCAATATCCATACGATTTTTTTTTCTTGTTATAAGTATACCCACTGTACACAAAACTTTCATGAAAGTATAAGGTCAAATTAGACTAGATAGCTATTGATAAACAATAGACAAATTTGAAAAATTGTTCAAAGTTTTGTGTTTCAAAAAATGTCACTTATTTCTGATAGCGGAACATGAGGGATTCAAACTCACCAACAAACGTAGCTATTTTATTCTAGAAAAGAGCTTCAAAATGTTCATTTATAATTATTTTGAAACCCTTTAGTGACAGATAACAGTGATAAAAGACCTATCACTATTCTGGTACTTAACAGATATCCTAAAAAAACTAGAACTAATTTATAATAAGATAACATGTTGCTACTTAAAGTTAGGGGCACAGTTTTATAGTAGCTTGGAAGCATAAATAAAATTAACGATTCAAGATTTATTATATCACGATATTTTGATGCTGGCTATAGAAAAAAATACCCGGTATAGTTACATATAAAATGTGAATTAGTGTAAAAATGTTTTTCTAGGCAAAACGGGATTTGTATCATTTTGAATTAAATGTTGTTTTTCTTTGTAAAAACCTAAACGTTCATCCTCTTTTTTTGTGATGATAATTTTCTCCTAAATTAACTCTAAAATTATAGGTATATATTGCCATTTTCTTCATAAAGCTTGTTCTAGTGCATTTTTTCTACTCAGTTCTCGTCTATCTTACTTTTTACTTTCAATAGGGTGACTTAATAACATTTTGTGTACTTATGTGAAAATCTACTGTTTACCAATCTGTTTGATTTAGCTTATTTAATAGATCTCAATAATTCAATTTAATTTAAATTATTCAATTTATTTTTAAATTGTTTCTTAAGATGCAAGAATAGTAAGTTCTATTGATTTTAATAGTAGCTTATCTATGATAGTACTGTAACAAGTATTTGAAATAGTCAAAAACAATTTCAATTTAAACAAATATTTGGAAGGATTTTTGAAAATTTGTTTCTTTTCCCAGGATTATACAGTTTTGGGGTTGTTTTTTCCTGGACGCAATTTTAAAGCTCTTCTCAAAAATCTCTCAAACAAAAAATAATTTTATTATTATATATTATAGTTTACATCTATGTACTTTTTATTTCTTTTTTTTTTTTAAATATAATACATACACGAATCTAATATGGTGGAGTCTACATCTAGTTAATATAGTATTTTTTTGAGTAGGCATCTTAGAATTATTTACAGATAGAGGAGTATCAGATAAACTTTTTGAAAACATAAATATATACATTAAAAATTTAACGTATAATTTTCTATATACGTTAATTTTTCATTTACGACTTAAACTTTGTAGAGCGACAAAGACTACGAATGATTCTTGTGGTTCGGAAAATGTATTGTTACTGTTACCAGCCAAAACCTTTTGAATAAATTAGGTATTGTAAATATCTATGAGTATATAATTATTATTACACAGAAATTTGAAACTATTTTTTCCCATCTGTGTAAAAAAACTAAATATATACAGCCTAGTGCAAAGAACCCAGTATCTTACAACAATAAAATATGTATAAGCTATATAGATAAACTTTGGAATACTTGAATGATTTTACAATGATATGACTGTTTTGTGATAGTTTTTATTTTTTGAACCACACGCATGAATAAACTAAAGAAAGTTCAGTTTGTCGTAAAATATTTTTTAGATTTATATTTCATTCACCTTCCATGTATTATTTTTTTGTGCAAATTCATATTTTATACAATAGTTTATTTAAAAGATACGACTAATCTATAAATTTTCTATTGTCTTGTCAAACTCTCTATTAGATCTACCATAATGTTCCTCTATTATTCGTCCCTTAATATTTATGATGTTCAGTAGATCTTTATTTAAATAATAAAAAGTGAATTCTCTAGATTAGTTTAAGTCTACTTTAGGCTGTAAAAGCACATTAAAAATAATAAATGCATCAACAACATTATAGTAAATGAACTAATTTGTGAAAAATGGTAAAGTAGGTACAAACAGCTCTAGAACTACATTTTATAAACATAGTTATACATATATGCAGCAACAAACAATTTTTTCATTTTGGGAATAGGGGTGAATTTTCTTCATTTTTGGAGAGGCATCCATTAAATCTCTAAAAAAAAAAATCATTTCAAATTAGTATTTACCAAAGACAAACTCTTACCATAATAAATACATGCAAAGGTTATTATAGTATGTTTTCATCGTCATTGCAGGCTCTTTAATCCTTCTTCTCGTCTTCAGGGTCCTTCAGGGTGTGCCATTGGGCGATAGGTCGACGTGGCGAGGCCAACATATCAGACCAATGACGTAATTCGGTTCCACTCGCATTGTAACCCAGTACTACCTTGCCAATTGGTTCAGATGTACCGATCCTGTCATAGTCTACCACTGTTACCACCAAGTTAACTTTCTATAAAAAGAAATAGGATTAATGTAGCATATTATGGCGGCGCGAATGGATTACGGATATATAAAGGCCAAGATTAGCTAGTAGTTTTAAGTTTAAGATAACGGGCTAACATACCCTTTGGTAGCCTCTCAAAATCAGATAATTAAAATATAAAATTCATATGACCAATTTACCTACAACCTATATTGTCTGCAATGTTAAAAAATAAAAATGGCATTTTTTAAAAATTGTCATATACATATTATGTTGTTTTATATATTTTTTATATCTTTATAAAATATACATATTTATTATATAAAATAAATAATTGAAAATTACGGGTGTTCTCAATCTATTATAACTTTCTATATTACACTTAGACACATTCAACCCAATTCCATTTTGTACAGACCAATTGTCCAAAACATCCAAGTTGCTTTGTAGATAGATGCAGTCATCAATATTCTTGACTTCAACTAGGTCATTAATGAACAGTAGAAAAAGCACAGGTCCTAGGTTAGAACCATGTGGAACACCTGAAGTGGCGTAAAAAGAGTATGAATCAAAGCCCTCATATCGAACGAACTGGCTTCGCCCTCGGAGATAGGACTTGTCTTTCAGAAAAACCGAATGTATGCAACTTGTTTAACAATATATGGTGATCGATACTATCAAACGCTTTACGAAAGTCCGTGTAGGTAACATCCACCTGACCCATAGAATCAAGCGATTGACAAATACACTGAGATACAAGTGGCTTGTAGCAAACCCAGTTCCGGGATGGAACCAAAAATGGGTTGTGTTTTCTCTCTGCGGGACCTAACCGTGCTGATGAGCTGTGATACAGCGAAACGCGTCCACGGATGGTCCTGCAGAGAGAAAACACTTCTCAATCGGTCCTTAATTGGGCCGTTACCTAATTAAATACACTGAGATAGACTACAAAGATTAGGTCACACATGATCTGCCGCTGACAAAGCCGTGCTGGTGCTCAGTTATTGAGCCCTTCACTTGATTGGATATAGACGTGTGTAAAATAATCTCGAACAATTTCCAAAAGTTACAGAGTATTGAGGTTGGTCGGTAGTTTGTGATTAAGGCAGAATCGCCTTTTTTTAAGATTGGGGTAATTCGGGTAGTTTACCAAATATCTGGAAACACCTTCTTAGACAGTTTTAAATTAAAAATTAAAGTATCGGGTCGATTAAAGCACAAATACAATCTTTGACAAGGAAACTCGGCACGTCATCAATACCAGCAGTAAATTGGTTCTTAAGTTTTTTACATGCATTAAAGGTCAATGCATTAAAAACATCATACAGGGCCGGCCCTACCATAAAGCGAATGGAGCGAGCGCTCCAGGCGCCAGACCTCGAGGGGCGCCTCCGACTTGTTCCTTGGTAAAAAAAAAGAGAAAAATATGTTTCTGAAATCTGTTTATCCGAACGATATTTTTGCATTACATTTAAGGACACCAGTTTAAATCAAGAATTTCAATATGTTTGAAAAATGAATATAATATTTTCAAGATATATTTTTCATTGTACTAAATAGTCTTGTTTCAAAATGTTTCAAATTTTTATTCCTAAATTACGAATTTTAGTTTTGAGATTGCATCGGCTCTTTATTTGGAAATTATTACCTCTTTAGAATGATGGTTTACAATTTTGGAAGGAGAAACAATATACCTATTTAGAGAATGTACTAATTTTTGTTTTGAACAACCGAATACTTAAACGGAAAGGATAAAAAATAAAATACTCTTAATTTGAGTATATGATTTCTCCGTATTCTCAATGTTAACAAATATAAGAGCATAAAATACCTATTTCAAAAATATAGGTATATCTTTAATTTAATAAGTTTCACATCCTCAATTCGAAAATACATTGAAAATGTATTTTCCATTAGAGAATATAACCGTACCGTAATGCTTGGTTTGAATTGAACGGCTTACAAGTATAACGATCTTTCATAGGAACTCACTTCAACTCTCAGTCTTCACTAGTTCGTTGAAGAGTGAGGTTCATGTATAAGGTTACGGCGGGCTGTTTGAACTTCATCATTCAGTTTTTTTTTTTGTGTGGATCTTCTATGGAGGCCAATCACGTTCTTTGCCTACCCTATATGGATTGGATTTATATTCTGCAGTATCTATACAGATTTTGTAATGTGGAAAATAAAAACGTTTAGCATTCTGTAACTGAATTTGGGCGAACGCTGTAGAGTAGAATACTCTAATGGCCATTTGCACCGACCATTTTGAGGGAGACTTAACGATAAGTATTCCTTAAAATGACATTTTTACATGTAAAAAATATCATTTTAACGTATAGGGGAAACTGTTGTATATCGGGACAGGTTCCTTAGTGGGACAATTCAAATTGTCCGCCACCGGTATCGCTTAAAATTCCGAAAAAAATTGTGTCAACTGCTTCATATATGAGCATTAGATATAACCTTGGCATTGGCCGTTAGAGTCTTCAATATGGCGGGATTTTCGTTAGTGTAAGCATAAAAGTGACAAAGTTTTTTTTTACGACCACGTGTTGGGCATAGTTTATGCCAGTAATATCCAATAGTTTGTCCTGAATTTGAGGATAATTATGCCCGCAGGTGTCTTGAAGGTGAATTAAGGTTATTTTTTTCTAGTATTTGTTCATATTTTCTCAAATTCAGAAAATTTCAAAAAGCGTATAAGGTTGTATTGTGGGACAGTGTATACTGGGACAGAATTTCTGGGTTGCATATTGGGACAAACATTTTATCTGCTCTATAATAGAACACTTTCGTATTTCACCTAGTTTCAATACCCTCTTTCTTCCAGAAATTGATAAAAATAGGGGCCGCAAAAACAAGAAATCGTTTTTTGAGAGTCGGAAAATTCACTTTGAGAATGCTGGGGAAGGCGGTAGACTCGGCGGTAGATGGTGTTCTTAAAAATGAAACCAATATTAAGACTGCTGCAGTTCAATTTGGAGTTAGCAAATCAGCGTTGCATAGAAAGAAGCACAAAATAAATGAAGCAAACACGCAGGAATTAAATTTTCAAAAGGCAACATGGTGTCATTGGTGTCAAGCAGATTTTCAGTGACGATGAAGAGCCAATGCTTAGCAAATATTCAGTTACTTCTTCACGAAGGTGCTACGGTTTAACTAGCAGAAAACCTAGAAAGTTGGCTTATAGATTTGCCATCGCACATTAAAATAAATCCACAAACATGGACGGAGAATGAAATCGCCGGAGAAGAATGGTTCAAACTTTCTCGAATTCGAAATAAGTTTGGCTACCTACTTAATTTATGTCGAAGTTCCATCATTTTGTGAATAAGCGACGGAATTTTTTTTTATATTTACTTATTTTGGATCAAAAAACATTGTCCCACTATACCCATGCATCATTCCCAGTATGCAACATGGGGTGGTTGTATAGTGGGAAAGTGGTGTATAGTGGGACATTCAATTTTTTCTATGTTAAAGTGTAAAAGTTGTTGAAATTTTTATAATTGTTAATAAACAAACTACTTTTAAATATATTAGAATGTTCACAATAGTTAAAAATTATTCAACAATTTTTTTATTTCAATTAGAAAAATATTGTCCCAGTATACAACAGTCTCCCCTACTTATCGTTGAGCATCCCTTGAATGGTCGGTGCAAAGTGCAAATGGCCATAAAAAAGTATACAAAAGTTTACTTTGAGCATATCTCAATTTTCATGGTGAAATTACCGTCCTCTTAAAATGAAACTGGGATAGCATCAAACAAAGCAGATCTATATTATTAGATGGATCTCACATATGCTCAATTCAAGTTGCTATATGAATATATAAAAGTTTAGGATGAAGCGACATATCTTCAATTTGAAAACACTTCATTTTTATTTAAAAAATCTGAAATACTCAAACGAAACATCGCATTTTGTTAAAAGAAACCTAATATATTGAGAATTTGCTATTCTTATTCCAAGGCGTCATAGTCTTGAGTATATACAAAGCTAACTTATGCTCGAATTGAGCTTAAGCTATTTGAACCAAGTATTTTGTTTTTTGCGTGCAGAGTTGCAATTTTTTTAATTCAAAAGACCCACTGAGTGATATTTTTGCATTACAGCCTATGGCCTGATTTCTGATTTTTTTCCTGGAAATCTGGGAAACTTTGGGAAATGTAGAATTTTTTTATTTATCTAGGAGCCTTTCAGCTTTGACATACCAAAATTTGATTGGATGAAATCCAAAGATAGCCAAGTTACGATTTTTTTAATCCAAAGCTCCATTGAGTGATATTTTTGCATTACAGCCTATGGCCTGATTTCTGATTTTTTTCCTGGAAATCTGGGAAACCTGGAGAAACCAAATATGTTTTGGCTTATTGAGGAAGCTTTCGGTTTCAACATATTAAAATTTTATTGAAAAATAGTTCAGGATAACGGAGCTATGATTTTTAAAATTAAATAAACACACTTAGCGATATCTTTGACGTGGCCTGATGGCCTCATTCCTAATTTTTTTTCTAAAAATTCTGGAAACTTGTATTAACTAAATATTTTTTTTCTACAACTGTCAAAAAATGATGATGTTCGCACACTCATGACAGTTTGCGAAGTGACACTTTTTTTCCCAGCTATTGATTTTTTAACGTTCCCATGACGCCGTGCGCGAACTAGTTATTTCGCGCACGTGTGCGCGAAATAACTAGTTCGCACACTGGGTGTCATGGTGACACATACCTGTCAGGAAATCAAAAATAATTAAAATTCACCTATCTTTGATTGAAAATGCAATTTTGGCTTCGAATGATTGATATTTAAATGGAGTTGTAGAAAAAATATTGTTTGCAACTCGGGCGCGAAATACTTTGGTGATCTCGACTATTTTTTCAACTCGGCTGCGCCTCGTTAAAAAAATCAGATCTCGATCACCAAAGTAGCATTTCGCGCCCTTGATACAAAAATAACTATTTATTTATTAAGGAAGCTTTTAGCTTCAACATACTAAAATTTTATAGAGAAATATCCCAGA